AGTTAATCTCTTGAATCAAAGATCCAGGAGAGTTCTATTGTTCTGGCCAGAACATTCTGTCTTATTGCCTTGAGAGACTTCACGATCTTCTTCCAAGAGGCTCTACAGTCGCTCACCAGCCATGCATTCAGCGTAGCCGTCAGCCGCTGTGAGGGCTCGAAGTACTGCTGTTCAATGTTCTGGAGGGTTGCATATTCTAGTCCCAGAAAAATAGCCATGTCCTTTATTTCACTCCAAGCAAGTGCTCTCAGTTCAGATTTCAAGTCGCTGAGTCGAGGTTTGACACCAGAAGGAAGTGGTGATGAAGGAGGTGGTATTAAAGAGGAAGGAAAATGCTGCAGCGCCTTACACGGTAAGTTAAAAGAATCGAAATCTCCACCCTCCACTCCAATGTTTACCGTTTCTTCTCGCGGCTGTCCCTCTCCCTCCCACTTCACCATCATTTTGATGCTTGGGATAGTATTGCCCGTCTTGTAAGCATGGATTTTGTCCATACTGAGTCTAGGTGGCTCAACCACTGGCTTTACGCTCCAGCCGTCGTCACTTTGAGCGTCAGGTATGGCAAGCGTGATTGCTTCGGTCAAAAAAGAACAGACCATTGTGAATTCAACAACTTCCGTTTCGCGCTGGTACTTGTTCTTCACAGCGTTGCGCTGTTCGGGGATGTCTTTTGTCACGACAAAATCAGCTGAGCCGTCTCTGCATCGAAACACGTGTACTGCAAATCGCATGCTCCAATCCCTGATGTTTTGCAGAAATCGTGAAAAAGCTGAATTCGCGCAATTCCAGTTCCCCGTAGAATTCCCCATGAGGGAACACCCCCGAAGGCACTGGTTTGAAAATGTGTGGAGACTTTCCGTGAGCCGTCATAAACCTCAGGGTGTTGTCTCTTTTGACAACAGCACAATGTGCCATCCTAACTGTTACCGGAGCTGGTAATGCATCACTCGCCGAGATCTGGTACACTGAACTGGCAAGTGGCATGTCCTTATTCTCCGATGGTAGAATGTAATCGTCATTCACGGCCTTGATCGTAAACTTGATATCCTTGTCGCACTCGGCTGCTGGGAAGAACAGACTTATCCCGACTTCATTCCAGTGAACCTCTGTCTTTTTGCCGGTGTACACAAATGGTATCTCTGAGTCGAGACTCGACTCCAACAACTTCAGTTGGAAGTATGGGCTTTGCTGCAGCTCATGCGGTAATGACTTTGAGGTGCCCGACTCCATCAGTGGATCGGTATTAACCTCTTGATTCTCTCTTCTCAACTCTTCTAAATTGCAGTAGATTCTGGCTGATTTTGCAGCTGATAGTTCCTGGGGCACACTTATATTCTCACTCCAAGTCCTAAATTTCGTGTCGCTTTTGATGCTGTCACTTGCCAGAAATGACGGAAACTGTCCAAAGGCTCGAAGTGGTGCAGATCGCATTCTATCTCCTGCCATTCTAAACCTTATAGTCTCTTTATAGATTGGGCTCGCTGGTGGTGAGTGTAATACCAGACTATAGTCGTCGGAACCTTCCAAAGGCTTTGTCTTATAGCTAATGGTTGGTCTTTCGGGGAAATCATGAGGAACGGTTCCTACTGGCTGCAGCATTTCTTCATAGCTTTCTCCTTCATCTCCTTCATAAATAATATCTCCGGCAACTATTTCAATAGAGCCTGCACGTGACTTAGCAGTCTCCCGTATGCTATGGCTACCAGAATGAAGGGCTTAGCTTGATCCTGTAACAATCCTTGAGCCTCCAATTTGCCCATCAGCAGCTCTGCAGCTATAACCCGTAATTTCTCCCTGTCTTGTTCCTTGACGTGGTCTGGGAACTTGATGGCTGTCGGGAGAGTCTCAGAGTAGCCCATCTTCTCCAAAATGTCCCTGGCTCCAATCATGCCATCGGTGACGTGGACATGGAATTTGTGCTTGTTGGTCTTGATGGTGCGCCATCCCCGTGGCCACCTACTAGTCTTCAGTAGGTCGATGGCATGCTTGAGAAGATAATCACAAGAACCCGCAATTACCTCCAAGTAGTCACGCTTCTCCTGCGGGATTTATAGTCAAGATCGATAGCTAGTAGCATGTTTAGTTAGATTGCTAGAAACATGTTTATCACTAATGGTGTCATGTAGCTTTGTGCATCTTTGCTGCATGTAAGGACTAACAACAACAGGGACACGGTGAAAGAACGTTTGCTTGCTTTTAGCCCTTATATAATGCCACAGTCGCTAGAGTAGCACACCAGGCAACAATATAGGGATTGTGTGATAGGGTTGGGGTGTCAGTGTGCTCAAATCTGTTCATTAACCATGCTTCATGTATCCCATCCTTATCTTGTCTCCCTTTCTTTTTATAGCTACCATCCCTCATAATATGCCTCTTTTTTTTAATACGCAGGATTTTAAATATAATTATAGTATTGTATTAATATGCGACGTACCCGATTCCAGTGAAGAATCATGTGGAAAGGGATGTATTCGTAGCGCGCGCTGCGAGGCTTGATAACGTCGATGCATTGCCTGGCCAGCTCCACTTGTTTCTCAGACACACTCGAGGAGTTGAAACCGACGAACGATTGGACCAACCTAGTCTTGGTCGACGTGTCTACGTTCAGTTTCCGTCTTGCTGGCACTGGTCGCGATTTCGCATCCGCCATGCTGAGTTTCTCCGACTGGCAAGCGAGGCACTTAGCTCTAGCTCAACAGGTTTTATAGAGCGCTCCGCGCGCGGGGCGGCGAATTTTGCCGTCTACGTATTGCGAATGCGTCGTGTCTTGGGTGTGTCAAGGGTCTTATGGATGTATGAAGCTCATTGAGGCCTTATGACGACATACTGTGCATATTCATAATGTGTTCATCGGTGTACTGGAATGTGCCACACACACAACCGATTATTCATCTGCCACCCCCTTTTTCTTCCTCCCCACCAGAGTAAGAGCTGTCAGTTGTGCACTGAGACAGAGTGCTATTTTACAGTGATAATAATATATATACTGAAAAAATCCAGCAAGTTAGTAGGTCTCAGAACAAAAGCCTAAGCAAAACTGCAACGATGAGTACACATAGGGGAACACTCCACAGTAGAAGCCGCCTGCATCCGACCAAGTTCTGCTCTTTTGTTGCCTGTTTTTGGTCTGGTGTCTTTTTCTCTGTAGGCGCCCGCTGGTCTTGGGTTTGTTGCTGCGTAGCTCGATCTTGGTGTGGAGTCTGTATAGGCTGACTCTGGGCGTGAGTGGGAAGAAGGCTATCTTCAATGTCTTTAGCCCATATATAGCATTCGTAATCGTGACATGTGACTTTAGTGGCAGGAAAACCTGTCACCATTTCTGGCATTTTTTGTTGTTCTAAATACTGTATCCAAGGAGCATGAGGTTTATGGCTGAGAGCTAGAGCCCACCTAAGTCACCTGAGTTTGCAGGAATGGTGTCGTTCTGTGTCTATAGCGGCATATACTAATTTTGTTGTTAGTTTGCTAGTTATCGCTCTATGTACTATGCTGGGGTTTCAACTCCATCTCACTATACAAAAGCTGGCTGATGCATGCACTGAAGGCACATTTTGTTATTGTAGCCAACTTCCCTGTTCTGTGCCACTTGCTGTTTACTTAACATAGTGCTATGAATTTTGGACGCTCAGTTCAAAGAATACTAGGATTAATGGCCGCATAATTAAGAGAAGGAAAGAGACTGTATGTATTTGCGACCGCACCTTGCTTCCATGTAAAGCAGCAATACAGTTTTTCACACAATTTGCTGACCAACAGGATTGTAATATTACGAATTGACATTACAGGATGTATTCAAAACCTTTGGTCTCTGTGAGATTTTTTAACGTACTCAGCCAATGCGTTGAGTTCAGTATCCTTTAAGGCTTTAATGAGGTTCTCCCAATTCACTGGAGTTGGTTCTTCTTGTAGCCAGGTCCGGAGAATACTGGTAACGATACGTTCTGGCTGATGGTGACAAGTCTCTCTTGCATTAGCAACCGCACAGCCATGGTGTCGTCAAGGAGTAATGTGCCAATTTTTCATATTTAGTTCCGATTTTTTCCGGGAGCTTGAGTCGCATCATCTGAGGAAGGTTTGCCTGGAGTTAGCTGTATCGTTGCCAACCACAACAACTGCTTGTTATCTGGTAAGGCATCTTTTATCGGACAGTGCAGAATGTATCCTGTACGTATCCCTTGTACTCTCGTAAATGTTGCGAAATGATTATTTGGTTTGGCAGGAGCAAACTACGGCAGGTGAAATTTTAATTTTCGTCTGCATCAAGCTGCATGACGTCAAATACTTTCTCAATTGCTCCAAACACAGTTGTGTAAAGTTTTATTATAAGTGTTTGGGGGTAGATCATCCAAGCTCAAATCACTGTATGCATGAATTTTGATGTAGTTAGTGTAGTCAACAAGAGTGACCTTAAGCAGCAGTTCTTGGTTATAGAGTAAAGCAATATTGTGGGCAAGGCATTTCGGAGGACCATATTCTAC